ATCGCTGAGCTACCAGGAAGCCGAAACTTATGTTTCCTTCATAAAAGAAATTAAATTAGTTTTCGTTCTCCTCGCCCCCCCCCCCCCCCAGTGGCACAGCGGTATGTCTGCGGACTTGCAATGCTAAAAACAGGGTTTCGATACTTGTTGTGGGCAGAGAACATATAACTCATTGCGTAGCTTTGTGCTTAACTACAAACAAACAAACAAATAGTTCTCCAGCATATTGTTGCAGGTTTTTCTATACGGAAGTTATATTTTGATACGCATTTATCCCCAGCAATTTTGCTTCTCGTTTTAGCTATTGAGAAACTATGTAGGGGAAAGCGGTAAGTCTACGGATTTACAAAGCTAAAATCCGGGATTCGATCCTCGAGGTAGACACAACAGATAGCTCAATGTGGCTTTGCTCTAAAAATGACCAAACCAAACTGATACCACGCACAGTTGAACTTTATTAATTTGTAATAGTAAATCATGCATGTATATATATATATATACATATAAATGTGTGATTGCTTGTGTATTTACGCGTGTATATACACGTTAAATACTAAATACAAGAAAAGCTGCATAGGTTAAAACTATGGTATTTCGTAAAATAAATTTATATTCACCATCATACTTTCTAACTGCAAAAAAATAGTAATTTATCAATCACCATGGCAACCTTGATTTTATTTTTTATTTCTTTTTTACATTCAGAAAATGGCTATGAGGGATTTACTCTATTGTATGAGTATTCACTCTCAAAACCTGTGTACAACAGCCTTACATTCTATAGTTGCTGCATATTAAGCCTGACTACTTGGCGTGAAATGGTTTAAATTATTTATAGCTTTGTAGAACGTTTCTTAGATCTGTTGCAGAACTATGTTCATGATTTGGTGGAAACGCACGTAACTCGTGGCATACTTCATCATGGGCGTGAAAAGTACTTTTATGTTGGAATCAACTGCTGCATATCATGCTTCACGGATGAAGTGCGTGAACGTTTCTGACCTTCACCCAGTTGAATCTTCTGTTCGTGAATTAGGCTTAAGGTGGAAGTCAGGCATTTTAGAGGGCATTTAGTATGCTATTCAAGCAGAGTTCATATGATTCGAGTTTAAAGGCGAAAACATATTAACACCATCCGAACTGTCGATGTGTTACTGAATCGAGTTTAGTCGTTTACCATGTTCATAAGATATTTTGATGCAGGCTCAAATGTAGTGTAGTTTTAGAATGATAAATAAATAATGAAATACTGCGAGAGTAAACTAACTATCCGGTCAGTAATTTAAAAAAAATAATAATAAAAAACTCATTGTTGTTTTCATGTTCAACAAATGTTATTGTTTTTATTCTTCATAAGTCTTATATGTATTCTTCAAATAGTAACAGAAAGAAACATTCAGTTCGTAACAGATGTACGAACGTACGTCAGGCTTGTTGTACTGTTCGTAGCATAAAATTTTCGAAATTTAGAACACACATTAATATATTTATATAATTATTATTATAATAATGTTTATCGTCAGGTAACGCCATTTTTACATTTCACTTCTGTTTGATCTAATACATTTTGTACTGTAGTTTAAAAACTTACTTTTTTATTCTAGAATTAATCTAACAGATTTATATACTGAGTTTGTTCATAACGTGTAGGAGAATTTGACACAAATTTACCGTAAGGTATCAGCAATAAAAATATAATTGACAAATAGAATTCAGCAAGATAACCTCTAAGTTGTATTCTGTGTAATACATCACACGATTTAAACATTTACGATGATGTAGGGATTAAAATGTTGTCGTTAACGTATATTAGAACGTGTGAAAATATTTTATGGTTGCTAATATATATATACTCGCTACAGAGTCTTAATGGGTTGAATACCTGATCAGATATTTCCAAGTTTTTGTAGATATTGAAAAAAAAATGTTTCCATGATCATATCGAGCAGCCATTTGCAAGCTCAATAATCTATGATATGTAAGATACATAGAGACTTGAATGATAAAGCATTGTTCTCAGTAAAAGGCATTCCAAATGTATTGTTACGTCTCTGGTCGTTGGTTAATTTTCCGTAGAAATTCTTTCCGAAAAACTTCAGCGATACAAGTCCTTTCTTAAATAAAACTAGTTTATTCTTTCTCAATACAACTTTGCAATACACTTAATTTCCATAGTCACTTTAATTTAAACACACGCTATAATTCACAACGAACGTTTCAGGCACTTTACTTACGGCATGACTCGATTATCTGTCTCTTTCTCTTCAATCTGCAATTATTCATGCCGTCACTTTTTTTTGCCGGCTTATATATACAAAAATAGAGGGCGCATAG